TCTTATATTCTTGGCATTCGGATTATTTTCCCAGTTATGGTTAAATCAGAGATCTGGAGTCAGGAAGTCATCATTATGTCCTGCATTTGTTCTGCCACTGATCCAGGTGAGTTCAATCAGAAGAGTGAATCAACCCGTGCAGATCGGACTCAACTGGTTCAGTGGCTGAACAAATGCCTCCCATAGAGATGACCTGCAGACTCAAATAGATGCTCTTACACAAAAACCAAAGGAAGAAGATGCGGGCGTCACTAACCAGAGAAACAATTAGGGTAAAAAGCCAGGCGTAGATGAAGAAGTAATCTCCCCCGATCTTTATGATGTAGAGAAGCAGCGAGGTCACAGGCAGCAAGATGCACTGCGTCACCACAAACTTCTTCACGGCATCCTTCAGGAAGAATCGTAACGTCTGCGAGGAAGGAAGGAGCAACACAAAGAACCGGGTGATAACTACTAATAAACATCAGACATTTTAGCAGGAAATAAGATTTTTACTCTGATACTCTACCTGCTGATTAAAGCCGTGCTTCTCCTCGATCACAAACGTGTTGTACAAACTCCAGGGAAGCCCGGTAACGGCACTGAACAGGGTGGCCAGAGTCAGAAACACCAAGGACTGGGTGATCTCGTAATCCGGGCCCAATCCGAAGCGGGCCGTCACAGAACCGGCGACGTGCCACAGAAATGGGATCCCCCCCAGCAGCAGGATCAGCTGAAAGGTTCCAAGGTGCCTCGTTAATGCGGGGAATCATGAAACCATTTCAGAAACCTGTCCAGCGCTGATCTTACCGTTCCTTCCATCTCTGAATACAGACCCGACCAGAAGCTGAAGTTGCTTTTATCCAGCTGATACAGGCGCGACTTCTCAAAGGTTTCAGGATCCATGATCTTGCCGAGTTCCTGAGGAACATGAGTGGTGCTCCTGTATATTCTCCTCTGCAAGGAGGAAATGTTGGAGGAAACCATTTAGCTAAAGATAACCTTTGCATTTTATTTTCTTCTCAGCACATAAACCGTTTTAATTTTCAAATAGATGCTTAAAAATGTGCAGAACTCGTTATCAACCGTATCTTGCAGTTCAGTACATCCTTTCTAATCATCTCTGCTGCTTAAACACATTGAACACCAGGGCTGGTGGATAGATCTTAACTTTAACCTTTTTTATTTCCTGTTTACAGCAAACTTGAGCGATGTCTGCATTTAAATCCTGAGACGCTGTGTCACTGTGACTGTACGAGAGATTAACCCCACAGCTGTGTGCACAAAAAGTTACGCAAATCTGAACAGCAGCAAAGAATTAACTAGAGCTGTATGTATCGAGTTTCATTTAAAGACTCCTGATTAAAAGAACTGTGTTGATTTTCTTTTTTTTTTTACTATGGCAAGTCTGAATATTTTCTCCACAGTTTTGCAAAAAAATATGAACACTTAAAGTTCAAATCTTAATGGTAGGTTATGTGAAAGATCAACACAAAGCTGCTTTGCTGTGTAAACAAACAAAAAGTAAAAGGTATTTATTTTCCTTTACAGTTAAAATTCTGAATAGAATGAAACCCCGACTTTATAGGGAAATAAAAAGGATGTCTTTCTAAAATGTTTAGTTCCACAAAACCGACCTCTGTGACAAGAAGAAAGATTTAAGAAGCTGTTTTGTTGTTTTCCTAGAGCCATGTAGGTAGGAGATATTGCACGTCGGAAGAGAGAAGGATTCGACGCAAAACTAAGACCTGGAAAACACTTTCCCTGATGATGGGAGCAGCATCATGCTGTGGGGCTGCTTTTCTGCAGCAGGGATAGTGATGGTCAGAGTTTACAGGAATATGGAAGGAGCTAAATCCAAGATCATCCTGGAGGAAAACCTGGCAGAGGCTCTGTAAGCCTGCAGGGGGATAGGTTAACCTTTAAGCTCTATATTTATTCTGAATCCACTCTGAATTCTGCAAAACATTTAACCCCAAACTGCTCCCTGGGCTCCGCACAATGGCAGCCCACTGCTCCCCAGGGATGGATTCAATTCCATTGCTCTGTTTTTGTTACAGTGTAATGACAATAAAAACGCTGGGGGAAAAAAAAACCCAAAAAATCTTTAGAACTATAATGAAATAATTTAGATCGCAGGATAACGATTACAATGGCCTAGTCAAAGCCCAGACCTAAATCCAACACAGAATCGGCACTAACACATCTAATCTGACTAAGATTGAGAACTGGTGCAAAAAAAATAAAAAATAAATAAAAGATCAGAATTAATGAAATGAAACTGAAACTATATATACATTTATTTTTACTTCACAGATCAAAGGGATGTAAATACATTAATTTACTATATGCTTTGATATGCGTTTAAAAACAGTCGATCTGTGCTTTTAGTCATAAGAACAATGGTCAGATCATGGATACCAGAATCAGAAATACTTTAATAATCCCAGAAATGACTTTTGTTACACGCTCCAGTTACAGTTTTATATATATATATTCAGACATCCAACTACA